TTGAGTCCTTATTTTCAATTATTTTGGGTATATATGTAGGAATGAAACTGCTGGGTCATATGGTAATTCTATGGTTAACATTTTGAGGAACCATCAAAATTTTTTTTCCCATAGCACTGCACCATTTTACATTCCAGTCATAACACATGAAGTTTTCAATGTCTCCATTTCTTTGACATTGGCTCTTTGAGATGCATTAGGAGACCCATCTTTGTTTGGCAAACTCCTATTAATCCTTCAAAACCCACCTCAGAGTTTACCTACTCAGGGATCCCCAGACAGAGTACATCACTGCTGCCTCGTATCTTGCATTGCTTTGCTTTTGCACCCACTCCGTGGCGTTTTAGGACAACAGATATCCCTTACTGGACTGTGAGCTTGCTGAGCGTAGGAATCATGTTGGATTTGAATCTGAATCACCAGCACCAGAGCAACAAGAAATGCTCATGAGCCAGATTAAATGATTGAGTAACTTCCCTCCAGATCTCTGAGTTCTCTGTCCACATGGAGAGCCATTGCCAACCTTTTCCAGCCTCCAAATGCGCTTCAGATAAAGTGCTATGTTGACCTGGCCCTTGGGTCCTGTGTGACTTCTCCATTTCCCATCTTTCACTCTGTGCTCCAGCCACACTGAACCACTTGTTGTTCTCTTAGTCACTAACTCAACGAATGTGTACTGAGCACCCACAATGTGCCAGGCAAGACAAAAGGCCTACCTCCCTAGAGTTTACTCTCCACCAGTGGAAACAGGCAATAATCAGATAAACCAATACATATATTGCATCAGGGAGGGATAATTGCTGTGGAGACAGACAGAGGTAGGTGAGGGATGGAGAGGGACGGAACATAGATTTTGCAGAAGAGACCTGTTTCAGGAAGTGACGTTTAAGCCCAAAACCAGATGCAGTGATGGAAGGAATATGGGGAAAAGTGTGTTCCTCAGAGAAGACACAGCAAGCGCAAAGTCCCCGAAGCAGGAACGTGCTTGGTGTGTTTGAGGAGCAGCAGGGAGGCCAGGGCAACTACAGGAAGTGGGGAGGACAGGAGGTCAGCAGAGAGCAGACCCTCCAAGTGAGGCATGTGGACCTTCTTCCAAGTCAGATGAAAACCACTGGATTGTTTTAAGCAGGGGTGAAGTACAATCTGAGTTGCTTTTTTTTTTTTTTTGAGACAAGGTTTCACTCCTTTCACTTAGGCTGGAGTGCAATGGCATGATCTCCGCTCAACTGCAACCTCTGCCTCCCAGGTGCAAGCAATTCTCCTGCCTCAGCCTCCCAAGTAGCTGGGATCACAGGCACCTACCACCATCCCTGGCTAATTTTTGTATTTTTAGTAGAGACAGGATTTCACCATGTTGGCCAAGCTGGTCTTGAACTCCCAACCTCAGGTGATCCACCTGCCTCGGCCTCCCAAAGTGCTGGGATTACAGTAGTATGAGCCACATCACCTGGCCTGAGTTGCATTTAAAAGAATCTCTCTGGCTGCTGAGGAGCGAATACTAGGATGGGTAAGGGCAGAGGCAGGAGCCAGCCATCTAGGAGAGAAGTGATAGCGACTGGGGGCCCAGGCAATAGAGCCAGAGGCAGTGAAGATGTGCTGAGGAGGTGTCAGGGCAAGAGAAAGAGGGGAGTCAAGAGTGACTACCCCACCATCCCACTCAACTCTTCTTGCTTCTAGGCCTTTGCCTGAGCTGTTCCCCCTGCCCAAGATGCCCTTTCTTGCCCTCTGCCTGGAAAACTCCCACCTGTGCCTCAGTCCTCAGTTTCATGCTCACTTTCTCCAGGAAGCCTTCCCCCAACTCCTCAGCAGACTGGCTTGGGAGCCCCTCTTCTGTTCCCACAGTTTTCCAGGCCTCCTAGCCCCTACTTGCCATACTGCTGTGAGTGGCTGTTCCTATGTCTGCTCTTCAACCTGGATGGTGAGGACAAAGAGGGCAAAGTTGTGTTAAGCCCTAAGGACTCAGCACAGAGAATGGTACATTGGGATGTTTCAATATAAAAGAATAAGAGAGAGAGAGAGAGAGAGAGAGAGAGAGAGAGAAAGAGAGAGAGGGGGAGAGAGAGAAAGAGAAAGAGAGAGAGAGAGAGAGAGAGAGAATGAGCACAGCTCCTGACTCCCTCTTGCAGCAGCGAGGCACAAACAAGATGGCTTGGGCAGTGGGCGTCTCTCACGCGCTCGCCCACCCAGCCCCGGTGTGGACATTCACGCTGGACACATTGTAGCATGAAAAGTGATTTGGGAGACTTGATGCTGACCAGAGGACCGGAACTTAATTCCACTGAAGTCCTCCTGAGTGATCCATGTTGCCTGCCGCCACCTTTCCAGGCCGACAGGGGACTAGAGAACGCACACAGAGCTCCGTGCATGAAGCAGAGCAGGGAGCAGAGCACCCAGACGCGGTGCAGCTCATGGCTGGGGTACAAGCCTGGAGTCGGATTGCCTGGGATCAGGCTGTGCTCTGCCACTTTCTAGTTACATGGCTTTGTGCGAGTGACTTAACTTCTCCCAGCCTCTGTTTCCTTCTCTGTAAGGTGGGGGCAGGAATTGCATCTAATGGCAGAATGGTGGGGAGAATCAGGTGTTGATCCGTGTCAAGTGTTTACAATGGGGCCTGGTAGCAGACAGCCCTTCAGAAATGCTGGCTTTGTTTTGTAACTTTTCCATCTTCCACCCTGTGCTTCCTGAATCCTACCTAATGGAATGATTTGAGGACTGGTTGTTTTAAGTATTTCCTTTTCTTTATTCTTTGCCTTTTGCCCACCTCGAGATCTGCAGTAGAGACTGGTTGTGCACGGAGGATGTGCAGGGAAGGGAGCATGCTAGAGTTTTGGAATGAGCCCTGACGTCTGTATAAAAGGTAGCAGCATCATCCTGTCTTCAGAAGATGACTCAGGCACTCAGAGAGGTGAAGTATCCATCACTTGTCACACAGTGAGGAAGCAGTGGCGTCGGGATCTAAGCCCAAGTGAGTCTGGCTGAGCCATGGTACCCACCCCCCAGGCTGCTGCCCACAGGGCCGGCACCATGACTGGTGCATCACTGAGCCCAGGAGAGGGTGAGCTTTATGGCAAGGTTCTCCAAGACTGAGGAGGAAGGCTGCTCCTGGCCTCCTCCTACGTGTGTGTGTGTAAAGGAAGTTGCGGAAGGAAAGGAAAAGCAAATGCAGGAACTATTTGCTCTTGAGGCGACAGTAGACTCAGGGGGTGAAGGATATTAAACATCAATGGCTTAATGAGGATTATCCACGAGTGTCTCTACTCTCACCGCCCCGACTTCCCTCTGGTGAATAACAGTCAGGAGAGGCCCCTGCTCCTCTGCTCTTCCAGTGCCTGCTGACTGCCAGCCATGGGAGCCATTGTACTCCCTCTCTAAAAGTCTCCGTGTATTCGAAGGTTATTGCCAAGAGTTTATAGAGACAGAGATTAGGAGAAGGAGGAAATGAAAAATGAGGATAGAGAGCAGCTGGAGTGAGGCTTTGGCCTTGGGGATGAAGAAGACGTTGACTCTTGGGCTCCCAGATTCCTGGGGTGGCAACAGATAGACTCCACCCGTGTTCTCTGGCACCATGCAAGAAGCCAGCCTGAGATGTGGTCAAGTGCTTGTGGACCCTGTGCACTGGCTATCACACACTGGGCAGGGGCTTGCCCTTAGGGCACCAGGAGTCGCTTGCACCTGCCAGTCAGACCCCTTGTGCTGCCTCAGGAAGAGGAGACAGGGAGGAGAAGGAAAATGAGGCTGTGGGTCCAGAGGGGAGTGTGGCGGGGCTGCAGTGACCTGAGGGATGGGTCTCTGTTCCTCCTCCCTCCCTGGGTGACTGGGGCTCTCTGAACTTCTGCTGCCTTCTCCATCTGAGGACGCATTGTGAGATCTACACCACAGGTTTTCTTGTTGTGAGGATGTGATGGAACGTGGAAATGTCTGAGGCATAGTAAGTGCTCAGCAAACAGCCCCTTCTACCTTCCCCCTTATGTGAGAGTTTAATGAGCCAGGTGCAGGGAGAGGAGGATGCCCTGGAGAACCTGCTGCATCAGAGCTGGAGTGATGTGGTTTATTAGGAATGATGGGAGCAGAACACTCGCTCCGTACCAGCTGCTTTAAGTGCTATTGACACATCCTCCTTTCACCCTCACAAGAGCTCAAGAGCCCAAGAGCCCCATGATACTGTTGTCCCCATTGTACAGATGAGCAATTAGAGGTTGAAGTTGTCAGCTTGTCTAAGGTCTCCCTGATAGTGAGTGGCAGACCTGAGTCAAATTCACATCTTAAATGTCATTAAGCACAGCCTGTATTTGGAGAGGCTGAGTCCCAGAGAAGGAAACTGGCCCCAGCCCTCAGTGTGGGCAGATTCAAACCTGGGGAGAGGCAAGGGATGGGGCAGAAACTTGGAGGACATGTCAACCTGACTGGATTCTAGCTAGATGACTTGCTGTGTGTCTTTAGGCAAGTTTCTCAGCTCTCAAACCTCTGTTTTCTCATCTGTAAGATGGGGATAATATTAACCAACTGACTAGGTCATGAGGATTGAATCTGACGACTCTAGCTAACTGCCTGGTACAGCCAGGTGCCCACAAGATGGGCGGCCCTGCCAGACTTCTGAAATAGTTGTGCCTCCCACCACAAACTGTCTGCTATTGACTGAGAAGAGAAGCATGTTCTCTTCCAAACTCAGAGACCCCTATGTTCTGGAAGATCTTAGTAGCAGTGAGGAGTGCTACCTTCAAGCTGCTACTGGTCCAGGCCAAGGGTATATCTAGGTGGGTCCGTCTCTCACCCAGAGTGTGTGCTGAGGCACATTGCAGCCCATATTTTGAGGGGTTTTTCCTGCTATTCATTTTGTGTTGCCGCCAAAGAAAACTAAACTACAGCTCCTGGCTGTCGGGGAAGAGCTGTGCTTCTGCCAGGGCTAGTGTGCCTGGCACCAGCTCAGGCATGTACCAGAGCTGAATGCTGTTTGCAGGCAAATGTACACACAAAAAGATTCCAGCACACGCGTGCACCAGCCAACACAGAGTTGCCACGGCACACAACACCGGGCCACGCACGTGCCTGCTGACTCGGCTGTCATCTCCCCACTGTCTTCCATGATCAGAAGACTCTCTCAGCCTCTGTCTGTCTCCGTGTCTGTCTGTCTGTGGATCAGTGTGTTTTGAGTCTGACTGTCTTCCCGGTTGGTTTCCTTTTCTCTTGCTCTGTCCCTCTCTCCTTGTGTTTCTACCCATCTCCCTATCTCTGCCACTCTCTGTCTCTGTTTTTCTTTCTTTCTCCCCTCCTTTGTAACACTCCCTAGGTCCGACATTGCCTCTTTCTCCATTTCTGATTCTCTCTGTTTTTCTGACTCTCTCTCTCTCTCTCTCTTTCTCTAACTCTTCTGTCTCTGTCCTTCCCTGTCTCCTTTTTCTATGACACTCTCCTAGAAACGCATCAAATACTGAAGTGGCCGGATTTCAAGTGACAAACAGCACTACACCCAGAATCCGCCCCCCCTCCCCAACACGGCTGCCTTCCTCCTCCACATCCCTGTCACGAAGAGAAGCCTATTGTGTCGGGCCCAGGGAGTTCGAGTTGAAGGGCCTGGGGGTCTGCGCTCTGACTGCTCTCAGCCACTTCCCCATTGGCTCCCAGCAGCCTGTGCTCAGCAAGGGCTGAGCGACAGGGGAGGCTCTCGTCCATAAAAGAGGGGAAGAGGCACCAGAACTGCCATTCGAAGGGGCTTTGGTGGTGTTCACAGCTGCCTATTTAGCACCTCCTCCCAAGCCGGAGTCAGGGAGGCCCCTGAGCCTTGGACCGGCCACCTGCCACCTCCGACCTGCTCAGCCAGAAGCTGCCCAGGGACAAAGCAGAGCACAGGTAATATCCAGAGGGGGCACTGGAATTCTATCTCTTGGTTTTATTTGCTTATTCCTGGTCCTCTGGACCTAGAGATGGTGGGAGGTCGGGCTGGGGATTTTAGGTTTGGGTCTGATTATCTAGCAAAGGAGCAAAGGTAGTTACAGTTAGGAGGCTAGTTCACAAAAGCCAGACCAGTGAGAGACTGCTGTTTGGAATCTCCCTTTCTGCACAGTCCTAGCTTAAACAGGTGGTGAGCTGTCTCCCAAGAGGACCACACTATGGCTTAGCTCCAGGGTCTCCTTCCCCTTGCAGTCTCCCACACAGCAGTTCCCATGCCATTCCCAGGATCTGGGGGGGGGGAATGGGACACCCTGGGTGGGAGAAGTGAGAGGTTTCACTAATCAGGGTGATTTTAAAGGTCAATGATTCTCATTGGACTTAGAGAACAAGGGCTTGGGGACATTAATGAGATCTAAGGCTCTGGCATTTATCACATAACATGTACATCAATGTACAGCCAGTTTCGGCCTTTTCATTCTTTTCGGATTGTGTTTAATTGCTGACAGCGTGCTGGTTTGAGTGGCTTCTTTCGATGGAATTTGATACAGGATGAAGTTTGGGGGTGTTTCGTTGGAAGGGAATGGGAAAAGGGAGTGACAACAAGCCAGGAGGCCCAGGCTTAGCAGGCGTTTGCTTGTCAATTTTACTTGGAAAGGACTTGTTGCTCCCCTATTAATTACAGCCAGAGGAGTCCAAGGCCAGGAGGAAGCTCAAAGGGAAAGCCATTTGCTCGCTGGTCCAGAGATCCATATTCAGAAAAGTACCGGGTCTCAAAGTTTGATTCTAGCAAAAAGCTGATGAGCTTCGGGAAAAAAAGAAAAAAAGAAAAAAAAGAAAAAAAGAAAGAAAAAAAAGCCTGCTGACTACTCCAAGGTTGAAGAGTAAATTCTGCAACTGCTTACTTTTTTCTGGGGATCCAAGAATCCCTTCAAGCTCTACAAACATTACTTAATTAAGTCTCCAGGCTTCCCAGGGGAAACAAGCTCTTTCGATTATTGGATCTGATTTCAGTTCCCCTCCCACAGACTGAAAGTCTTCATTATCATCTTTCTTCCAAGGGTTGCTGAAATACACAAGGCTTGCCTTTCTAATTTGACAGGCATCCCAGTCGAGATCCATTGCAAAGCACTGCAGAGTGTCCATCCTCTTCTGTTCTTTCTCACCCCAGGCCTCACTCCCACCCTGCTGTGGTACCTTCCTTCTCTTTTCCCTTCCTCTCCTCCCCCCAGTCCCACCACACCTTGCCTTTGTTCTATTTTTGCAGGTCATTTATCTCCAGGCTTTGAGATCTGCGTGGGGGGAGCTGTTGCAGCAGCCTAAGCCGGTGAGTTATGCTGCCTGGGGGTGGTTTGCGTTCACTGACGGGATCTCAAGCCCACTGCTTTGCCCCAGCTGTGATAGGTGGCAGGCAAATCCTATGTCTCTGTTGGCAGCTGGGAGGGGGATGTCACACTGGTTCCTGAGGCTCTGTGGCAGAAAGCAGCACATTTTAAGGGAGCAGGCAAAGGGATTGGCTCTGGGGCTATTTGAGAAATTTGCCATCTTAAAACACGTGGAAGGAGTTAAGGTTTCTTGAAGTAACTCCTGGGAGCCAGGAATTTTCCATCTGTCATCTACACGTGTGTCTCACAACACCTGAAACAGTGCTGGGCTGAAATCCCAGATCCTACCACTCACTTACTGTGTGACTTTGGAACAGTAGCAGTCCCTCCCTGAGTCTCACTTTCCTTACCTGTATGATGAGAATAATAATAATATTCACCTCCTAAGGTTATTGCAAGCCTCCACGGGATACAGCAATACGCCTGGCATTCAGTAGGTGCTCAATAAATACTGGTATGACTGCTCAGATTTTCACTGTTACAAAGTGGTGAGGTTGGACCTTTCTCTCTATCAATTATCATATCGCTGATCATCCCACTCCATCATGCTGTGTGCTATGTCCAGGAAATATGATCTAACGTCTAAAATTGTCATCTGTGGGGCTGGTGCTCCTTTCCCCTCCCCATCCCAACAGAAGACTTTTTATTTCATCTGCTGCATCAGGATCATGAAGTCTCTTTTTGATCGATACTCCCTCACTCCCCCTCCCACTACCCACCTCCTTGGGTCATTCCTGCACAATTGTTGTATTTATTAGGTCTCTTCCATCATGGTAAGAGAGATCAATAGTTACTGGTTCGATTTCAATGCATGCCTGAGAAAGTGTGGTTACACAGCTGATTTCTCTCACCGTATTCACTCATCTCAGCCCGCGATTGTTGGCTAATCTTGCTGGGTCCGACAAAGTGATAAACCTGTTTCACTGAGACAGAGCTGGTCACTGTGGTAGGCAGTAAACATCGGCTGGAGACACCCAGGTAAGCCCAGGATCAGACGCTCGATATGGAGTGAGGTCTGTTAATGCTTTGAAGCGCAGCCTCATCAGTCCCTCCCAGGCTGGATCCAAACTGATGCTTCTGGCAGGAGGACAATGGCCCAGGTCCATGAGGCACATGGCTTGGCTCAGGGGGCTCCTCCTGGAGTCCATCCAGGTCATCCCACTGGCCAGAGCGGTTGGCCACAAGCTGCAGACATATGCACCGAGGCAATCTGTTGATGCATTGGCTTGAACTGCCATTTGGTCCCTGTCCTATTCCTGGACAATTTGATTTAACTTGACAACGGTTTACTGAGCAGTTATTATGTGGCAGGGTCTCTTGCCCACTGGTCCCTAGGAACAAAGGGCAGACTCAGAGAGCAGCAGGAGGGAGAGAATTGGTGTTTGTGATTCACACAATAGGTCAGCATCCTGAATCAAAATCTTCTTTCCCTCCCCACTTCTCTCTCTTATTTTGTTCACTTCCCTTCTCTCTTTTCCCTCTTCTTCCCCTCCTCCTCATCCCCTCCCCTTCTATTCCTATTTGTCCTCTCCTCATCTGTATGTCTCATCTTGTGTTTTTTTCCCACATGGTCCTCCACCTCTCTGCTTTTTCCTGGTATCTTGGTCTCTTTTTCTGTGTGTGCAGGTCTCACCTCTGCCTTCTTTTGGACCCATGTCTTTTTCTCTGTGTCTCTGTTTCTAACTCTTTTTATGTCTCTCTCTCTCTCTGTGTCTCTTCATCTCCATATCTCTCTAGCTCATCCTCTTTTTGCCTTTCTCCCCATCCCTTAATTGCACCAGAAAACAAAAAGGGTGGCGGTTCCATGCAAGCCTTGCTCTTGAAAAACATTCTTTTAAATATGCAGTGAGTGATCCCACCAGGACCATCGCCTGCAAGGCCGTCTTTCCCTCTGGTCTCCGCACAGCAAATGCAGCTGACCACCAATGGGACCCTCGTCCAATTCTGTGCTTTGATCTTTGCCAGGCTAAAGGGTGGGTTTACTTTCTGTTCAGAACCCAAGCTTCCTTCTCATTGATCATTCATCTTCTGTTATGACGCTAACACCTAACAAGGGGCACCACTGTTTCAAGTTCAGGGGCTCCCTTTGCCAACCTCCTGGAGACCCACAAGGGTGAACTTTATACTTTTGAGTGTGGGGTAAAAGTTCCTGAAATGGTTTCAACATCAGGAGTGGGAGAGTTTGGGAGGTTATCTGAAAGACGGTTGAGACATATTTAGGCCTCGGGATGGTTTGTGGCATGGAGTCAGCAGACTGACTTTGAAGTCTTACTCTGCTGTTTCCTTGCTTCTTGGTCTTGGCCCAGTCTTTTAGATTCTCTGAGCCTCTGTTTTCCCCATCTGGAAATGGAACTCGTAGTTCCCAACCCACTGGATTCTCTTCAAGAGAAGAGAGAAATAATTGAGATAAAGTGGATAGCGAAGAGCTTGTCTCTTCTCAGAGTTACACCCTAAATGGGGAATGCGATGGACTCAGAGTCCCAGCTCTGTCATGCTCTGTGGCCACGAGGAGGTACTTTATCACTTGGTCCTCACCTTCCCATCCGGATCCCAAGCCTGTAATATGAGCCCCTGCCCCCTAGCGTCCACAGGAGGCAGCTGGAGTGCGCGGTGCTTGGTGCAGAGCAGCGTCTCAGTCCTTGCTGGCTGTTAGGATGGTTGTCATTGCAGGGTCATTGAAACAATGCCATCTCTTTAGTGGGAGTCATGGTTCGGGTGTGGGAGGCTGGAGTTCTGTTTCCATTTCCCTCCTGACTCATGATGTGACCTTAAACAAGTGACTTCATTTCTACCTTTTCCCATTTCCTCTTTCATCAAATAGGGATAATCATATGCGCTAAAGTGCTCACAGAGATAATTGCGATGTTAAATCAAGCCATTATTATTCCATGCTGGCTTTTTAAATAAAAATGCTTGCGGCTCCTCTGAGCCCTCAGCTGACTACAATATAGAAATATCATCGAGGAGCCAAGAGGTCAAAAAGTTCATTCCCTTTCAAGGAACTTTGGGCCCTGGGTGAAGAGAGCGTCTACTTTGTGCTGGCCCTTTAAGCGGTGCTGTCTCAGTGCAGGAAGATGATATACCCCATTTACAGATGAGAAGACTGAGGCCTGTGAGGCTTGTGGAGGAGGTGGTACCAAATGACCGCAGAGCCCATGCCTTTCCCTCTCAAGGGAAAGGAAAATCCCATGGCAAGCCTCCCTAGGTCCTCTCAGTATTTGCCGGGAGAGCGCCCAGGCAACTAGAAAGGGCTCAAGGCTGAAGAACAGGGCCAGTTGCCTCCTGCCTTTTCCATCGGGAAACCTACCTGACCTCCTGGTGAGAGATCCATCCACTAGCAAGACATAAAAAATGTTTTATTATTTGAGAATATGTTCACATGCCTGAGGACTCAAGAAAGTTAGCTTAAAACTATTAGAATCATAAAATGTTTATAAAACCAGTGAAAGTACGGTCAGCAAACCTTGTCTGTAAAGGACCAGAGAGTAAATATTTTGGGCTTTCTGGGCCCCACAGTCTCTGTTTCAACAATTAACACGGCTTTTGCAGCATGAAAACAACCACAGACATAGATGCAAACAAAGGGGCATGGGTGTTGCATTAGCCAAGGTTCTCCAGGGAGGCAGAACCAACAAGGTGTGCCTATCCACAGAAAGAGATTTACGGAAGGAATTGGCTGATGCAATTAGGGAGGCTGGTGAGTCTGAAACAATCCCTCCTGTTAGGGGAGAATCACCCCACTGCCCCAACAGCCCCTCTTTCCCCTACTGGGCTGTTACAAAGCACCCGAGGTAGCGGCTGAGATAAAGCTTCACAAACTGCCAAGGGCAAAGGACTTTGCTTTGTGCGGCCTCCGGGTCCTCGGCCAAGTCTGTGAAAGAACACCATGCAGGCCCTCCATCAGGGTGAGACGCTGACATCACGCCTCCCGCTCACCGAGGGGTCCTGCTTCCCACTTCTCATCCGGATGATCGACCAAGTTCCTTTCCTCCTTGGCCCATCCCTAAGCGGACATGATAGGCAGGCAGGGCTCTCTCTCATGTATGACTTCCCAGCTCCATTCCTTGGCAAATCCCCATCAGAAAGGTCGAAATGCTTCTCCCGGGGCCCATCTGACATTGTTCAGTAAAGTATTTATCCTATAAAAGGAAGGAAATAGGATCACCTGTGAAATTGTGAGGGCGAATGTGTCTCTACTAGGGTCGCCTTTAAACCCAGAGGGATCTGGACAGGAGCCCAACTCCCCCATTCATGAGTCCAGGGGAACTTGGACGAGCAAGTTCCCCTTTCTCGGCCTCAGTCTGCCCCTCTGTAAAATGGGTATTAAAAAACCATGCACCTCTGGGGTTGCCAGGTACTTCAAGCACATGCCAGGTGCTTCACATGTGATCATTTATTTAATTCCTATGCCCATGCTCTGAAGCATTATTATTAGCCCCATTTTGTAGCTGAGAAAACTGAGGCACAGTAAAGCTAAGTCATTTTCCTAAAGTGGTGGTAAGTGGTGGGCTGAGACCTGAGCCCACGTTACTGACCATTTGCTGATCCTGCTTCGGGGTCAGGAAAGCATTTGCGGTCCCACCTGTCCTTTCTCACCAGCTGTGTCCTCGCCACCCCATGCTGCTTCTCCAAGTTAGAGAGGGTAATTCAGGGGCTGCAGACTCACACGTCTGTCAGGTACTCGGCAGTGAGGGAAGCCCCGGGTGGTTCTGCGGGTGGTGATGGGCAGCATGGCTCTTCCTCTGTGACTGTTGCCATATTGAAATACAGGCTCAATGTCCCCAGGCCTTTTGTTTTTTCAAGACAAATTGAAAATTGAGATTTTTTTTTTAAATGTAAAATTTCCTAATTTTAAAATATTGCCTGTTTATTTTCATAACTAATTGGTGTGCAGCTCCTGCTCATTCTAGCCCTATATGAAGTACTGGGACACCATTCATTCATTCATTGATTCATTCATCCATCACTCAAACTTCCTTAGTCTGCCAGTCACATTTAGATCAAATGCAAACTCTCCCTTGGCCTGTGAGAGCCGGCATTATCCGTCCTCTGCCCACCTCTTTGCTTTTCAACCCCAGTCTCTCCCCTTACGTCCCTTCATCCACCCTGGCCTCTTTGTCATCCTCAAGCACAACACACTCGCACCTCAGCGACCCCCTCCCCCCACCATGTGCCCATAAGGGACTCAGACAGGTAAGTGGTCATTTCGTGATGGAGCCAGCATACGAGGCTGTGGGATCTCAAAGGAGGGAACTAATCCAGACACACTTCCTGGAAGAGGCAACTGAGGCTAAGTTTTGAATAATGAATAAGAATTAGCCAGGTCAAAGCGTGATGGGAGTGGATGAGTGGCGTGACAGAGATGTTCCTGGCAGAGGAAACCCTGTGTGCAAAGGCTTGGAGGGCGGGGTGCATGGAGCATTTGTTTTGAAATTGCAGGTGGTTTGGTCAAGCCCAGGACGGGCAGAACTCACATCCAGTCTGTCTGGGTGCTGTGTACTTGTGTGTACTTGCTGGGATACCTTGGACAGACTATGTGATCTTTCTGTGTCTCCATTTTCTCATCCATGAATGGGGAGAATGTGAGTCCCAGCCTTATGGAGTTGTCATAAGGACCCCCTTCCAATAAGACACATACAGTTCTGAGCACAGGGGCAGGCACGCAGGGAGCACTAGCAAATGTCAGCTGTCGGTATTAGGAGAGCCTGGGGGTACTGGTGACAGGGACAAGCTTCCTCTGGAAGCCAGAGGACACAGGGCAGAGGTGCAGTCAGATCTGCATTTCAGAAGGGTCCTCCAGCTGCTACGTGGAAAGTGTCTACGAGGGAAAGATTGGAGGCTACTCCAGAACCAGGTGGAGGTTGAGATGGACCCTGGAGGGAGAAGTTGGAGGCTGGAGATGAGGGGACTGAAGGGGCCTGGGCAGTATACAGCGGTTACGAAGGTAACTCTGGAGCCAGACAGCCTGGTACAAATCCCAACTTTGCCACTTACTCACTGTAGAATCTTGGCAGGCTCTAGAATTTTAACTCAGTTTCCTCATCTGTAAAGTGGGCATGACAATAGCACCGATGCTGTAGAGTTTCTGTGACTATGTGTGAATTAATCCATGAGAATTGCTCAGAACATCGTGGGTACTTAATTACCATCAGATCAACCAGAATTATCAATAAATATAAAGTTAATGGATGAAAGACAAGGATGCCAACACTATTTTTGCCTGAGACAAAGAGATCTTAAAGTGAGTCCCCTACCTTAGCAGCTAAGCTGTGTGGGAAGCCTTCAGCCAGGAGTTAGATGTTGTGGTAGGCACCCCCTCCCCAGTAGGTTAATTCACTGCTGATCTTCTAACAGGCCAGGCCGCCATCGCTGATATCAGAGAAAACATGAGCTGCCTGCTCTATACGGCTCACTGGTGGGGAAACGTAATCCAGTCCGCAGCTGATAGGGCGTGAGAGAAACTCAAGGGGAAAAGACACAGGATGGACACAAGTCTGCTTCCCTGACTTTTCCACTGAGCCTCCCTGGTTCAGGGGAGCAGACCTTGCCAGCCTCAAGCAAGGCACATGGAGCTGAGCTTGTGTCTTGAATTGTTGTGTGACCTCAGGAGATTTACTAAGCCTCTCTGAGCACCAGTTTTCTTGTCTATAAAGTGGGGGCTTTGTATATAAAGTCCCTTGGATCTCACGGAGGGCGCAGCTGTTAATGAATTGAAATTGCTCTAGAAATTGTAGTCATTAAGTGTAGGGGGTCAAACAGAACAGGCCTTGCACCTCAGCCTCACTATCGAGGTAGGACATGGGCAATTCACCAGACCAGAAGTGGCCACTTGCCTGAAGGAATAAATGAGGTGATAGATTGAAAAACTTAGCGCAGTAGGGGTTTGAGAAATGGTGACTGGGATCACTATCAAGTATGCTCCGGTGGGAGAGCCTACTGCATGCTTTAACGCAGAGACCCTGCTTTGGCTACAGCGTGGGGTTCTGGGGCCCGGGGGTGAAAGCTTTGAAACACCCTGAACACCTGAGCAAACAAGGTGGTTTGCAGGGATGGGGAAGTTGGAGGAAAAGAGGACAGCCATTTCTGAGAGTAGACTGTTGGTGTCGGGTTACAAAGACCATGCTGGGCCAAGTGTGAAGCCCCTGACCAGGGTGGGGTGGGTGTCTTAGGGGAACTAGGCACTTCCAGTTGGAAGAACTGTACTGTGCCCTCATAAATCAAATATAAAGGCCCTGAATCTTGATATCTGATTTATAAAGGGCTGACTATGAAACAGACAACCTTTTTTTTTTTTTTTTTTTTTTTTGAGACAGAGTCTCACTGTGTTGCCCAGTCTGGGGTGCAGTGGCACGATCTCTGCTCACTGCAACCTCTACCTCCTGGGTTCAAGTGATTCTCCTGCCTCAGTCTCCTGAGTAGATGGGGCTACAGGTGTGTGTCACTCTTCCCAGCTAATTTTTGTATTTTTTTTTTTTTTTTTTTGAGACGGAGTCTCGCTCTGTCACCCAGGCTGGAGTGCTGTGGCCGGATCTCAGCTCACTGCAAGCTCCGCCTCCCGGGTTCCCGCCATTCTCCTGCCTCAGCCTCCCGAGTAGCCGGGACTACAGGCGCCCGCCACCTCGCCTGGCTAGTTTTTTTTGTATTTTTTAGTAGAGACGGGGTTTCACCGTGTTAGCCAGGATGGTCTCGATCTCCTGACCTCGTGATCCGCCCGTCTCGGCCTCCCAAAGTGCTGGGATTACAGGCTTGAGCCACCGCGCCCGGCCAAATTTTTGTATTTTTAAAGGAGATGGGGTTTCACTATGTTGGCCAGGCTGGTCTGGAACTCCTGACCTCAAGTGATCTGCCTGCCTCAGCCTCCCAAAGTGCTGGGTTTACAGGTGTGAGCCACCATGTCTAGCAAAACAGATAACTTTTAACAGAGTATTTATGAAGCATTAATTCATCTGCCAGGAGTTTATTGAGGACCTGTGATGTGCTGACCAGGGTTTTAGGAGCTGGTATACAGCAGAGAATAAGACAGGGTCTGTGCCCTCAAGGAGCTAACATTCTATTGGGGTCGTGATAACCACAACGTACACACCACCACCAACAACCAAACATCAAATAGGTAGGAGACGATGAGCTGGGAGTGTTCTGATGCAAACAAAGGCTGATGTAAGAGAGAGACCAAAGAAGCCTCATTAGACACATAGTGATCAGTAAATGCCTCTCTGCCAGTATGACAACTAATTTAATGACAAAGAAGGAGCTAGTGATGTAGAAGTCTGAGGTCAAAATACTGCAGCAGAAGAACAGAAAGTGCAAAGCCCTGAGGTAGGAGCAAGCTTGGCATATTTGAGGAACAGAGTGACCACTTCAGAGAAAAAGACAAGACATGGAACCAAAACCTGAAGACTCACATGGACGATTTTCATGGAAGAGGCACACACTGCTGGGAGAATAGAAAGGAGGAACATCTCATCTAGCCTAGGCAATCAGGGAGAGCTGCCTGGAGGAAGTAATATCTAATCCAGGACCTAAATGACAGGTAACAGAAGAGGAGATGAAGAGTTCTCCAGGCAGAGGGAACAGCATGTGCAAAGGCCTGGGGGTGGGTCAGAGCCTGATGCATTCATTAAGGGGATTGCAAGAAGCTGATGTGGTTGAAGCCCAGAGCTGAAGTGTGGGACTGCAGGAATGGGACTGAGGGTACCCTGACATTTAGGCAGAAGGGCCAGGCCTGACCCCACCCAATGGGTCTGTTCACAGAATTGATATTGCCAGGAAGAGCATTTCAGAATGGGAAGGAGGAATCAAAGAAGGAACTGGAGGCAGGCGGGGAGGCCAGCAGGGAGAGGGAGTGAAGGTGGAGCCGTGGCTGAGATCAGTGACAGTACTAGAGTGGGAGAGAAAAATTCTGGAGCTCTCACAAAGCCGAAAGGACTGATGTGGGACAGCCTGGGACACAGGGACAAAGACCTCGGAGAACTCAGAAAAGCATTTAACTAAGTATCTTCTGGCTTGGCAGGTGGCCAAAGTGGGTTTTGAAGTCTGAAAGACCCAGATCAAGTCGTGGCTTGTCCACTTCCTAGCTGTGTGCAACCACTTCCCTGCTCTGAGCCTCAACTTCCCCATCTGTTGAATGAAACTGGCACACAGCCCACATTGAAGAAGTATTGTGCAGATTGGAAGTGAATGTACAGGAAAGCTCTGGGTATACAGTAGGCGCTCATTCCCTTCCTTGACCCTTGGCTTTGGGCCTCCACTTTACCTCCTTGGGCCTGTTTTCTTGACTGTAGAATGGGAATCAGAATGCTTTGCAGTGCTGTGGGAAGGAGTTAAAGAGATGAATTTGTGGGCTCAGAACACAACCTGCAGAGGGGTGATCACAGATTTCATTATCTTCTCTTTCTTCCTCCCCAGCAGGAATTGCTGAGACAGGATGACCTGGCAGGGGCTGGTGCTGGCTGCCTGCCTCCTCGTGTTCCCCTCTGCCACAGCAGACTGCCTGTCGCGGTGCTCCTTGTGTGCGGTAAAGACCCAGGATGGGCCCAAACCCATCAACCCCCTGGTAGGTTTCAGGCAAGGTTCTTCAATGCCCAGGTCCTGGGGCCTGGGTGAGGGAGCCCAGAGAGGGGAGGTTGCAGGCCTTGGCAGCTGTGTGCTGTCCTGTAGATCCATCCCACCTGTGCAGGGTGGCGGGTGTCCTGCCCTGTAGATGGCCTGGACACCAGGGGCTGCTGTTTTCCATCTCCTATCCCCACTCCAGACCTCACCACCATGGGTTCACTCAGGCCACGACAAGAGACTCAGGTGTCCAGGGAGAGTGATGCCTGGCAACAGGGAGTGTCATTGCTGAGGTGGTGCTGACTTTGGCAGTCAGCAGCCCTAGATTGACTTTTTAGGGCTTCTTATTCTCGGACTGATGAGCACCTCCAAATCTAGACAGTTCCATGAGAGGAGCTGTCTCCACCACCCCTAAATGCAAAGATCTGGCTGACAGAATCAAAGCTTTGACCCCTCTCCTGGGCCTTAGCACCTCTTGGCCCCACCTTGTTGGCTCTGCTTTGAGTTAAGCTCCCCCACGTGTCTCTCCCATGACAGCAGAAAGGCTGGAATAGAGGTACCAAGGGAATGGGGACAGAACACAGACTTTGATTCTGCCCCTTTCTAGCTCCATGACCTTGGAACCCCCTCTCTAAGCCTAGGTTTCTTCATCTGCAAAATGGAGGTGATTCCATGAGATAGTGAAAGAAGTTATTTATTTATTTACTTTTTCTGAGACAGGGTCTCACTCAGTAGCTCACACTTGAGTGCAGTGGCGCGATGTCGGCTCACTGAAACCTCTGCCTCCCGAATACAAATGATTCTCCTGCCTCAGCCTCCCGAGTAGCTGGGACTATGGGCACCCACCACCACACCTGGCTAATTTTTGTATTTTTAGTAGAGACAGGGGTTCACCATGTTGGCCAGGCTGGTCTTAGACTCTTGACCTCAAGTGATTTGCCCACCTCGGCCTCCCAAAGTGCTGGGATTACAGGCGTGGGCTATCACACCTGGCCAGAAGTTATTTATTTTGGTTTGTTTGAGACAGAGTCTTGCTCTGTTGCCCAGGTTAGAGTGCAGTGGCACTATCACAGCTCACTGCAACCTCCGCCTCCTGGGTTCAAGTGATTCTTGTACATCAGCCTCCCGAGCAGCTGAGACTGCAGGTGCACACCACCACACCCAGCTAATTTTTGTATTTTTAGTAGAGATGGGGTTTTGCCATGTCCACCAGGCTGGTCTCAAACTCCTGGTCTCAAGTGATCCGCCCGCCTTGGTCTCCCAAAGTGCTGGGATTACAGGTGTGAGCCACTGCACCTGGCAAAATAAGTTATTTAATACATAATTCTAGTCACTGAGAGATGCACACAATGGGCCATGCCCAATCTCAAAGAGCACCGTGTTTAAGCATGAAGACTCATGGCATTGGATGGCCTAGGTTCAAGTTTCAGTATTCTTTGCTATTGTCATCGTCATTATGATTGAATGCTCCCAATGGCCCTATGACGTGATGCCATTGCCCCCCACCCCAAGCCTGATAAACCCTTCTGTGTCCTCTTGTGTATTCTCTGCCATTCTGCACTTCTCTGTCCTACTTTACCAAGAGTTAGCAGCGTGCTTCACACCTGCAGAAGCCTGGGAGAGAATTTGTATTTTTAATGGAGGTGGAGTTTCCTGTCTGGGAGTCAGACGTGGAAGGGGAAGGGTGAGCACACAGAACACTCCGGGAAGATCTTACTTCCAATTCTGGCAATTGCCACCCACAGCCATGTGTCCTGGGTCTAAAGCCATTTCACCTCTCCAAGTCTGTCTTCTCTTTCTCACAGGCACAAAGTCCCCTACCTTTATGCACCACCAGGAGTATGAACATGGGTAGCCCAGGGCTTAGCAGTGGTGCTTATTTTTATTTTGTCAGACACTGGACAGGGGAGCCTAGGGCAGAGCAGTGCATGTGTTTTAATCATTTGCCACTGTGATCTTTTTGGGTCTTTTACAGATTTGCTCCCTGCAATGCCAGGCTGCCCTGCTGCCCTCTGATGAATGGGAGAGATGCCAGAGCTTTCTGTCTTTTTTCACCCCCTCCACCCTTGGGCTCAATGACAAGGGGGACTTGGGGAGCAAGTCGGTTGGGGAAGGGCCCTACAGTGAGCTGGCCAAGCTCTCTGGGTCCTTCCTGAAGGAGCTGGAGAAAAGCAAGTTTCTCCCAAGTATCTCAACAGAGAACACTCTGAGCAAGACCTTGGAGGAGAAGCTCAGGGGTCTCTCTGGCGGGTTTGGGGAGGGAGCAGAGTCTGAGCTGATGAGGGATGCCCAGCTGAACAATGGTGCCATGGAGACTGGCACACTCGATTTCACTGAGGAGGACCCCAAGGAGCAGGTCAAACGCTATGGGGGCTTTTTGCGCAAATACCCCAAGAGGAGCTCAGAGGTGGCTGGGGAGGGGGATGGTGATAGCATGGGCCACGAGGACCTGTACAAACGCTATGGGGGCTTCTTGCGGCGCATTCGTCCCAAGCTCAAGTGGGACAACCAGAAGCGCTATGGCGGTTTTCTCCGGCGCCAGTTCAAGGTGGTGACTCGGTCTCAGGAAGATCCGAATGCTTACTCTGGAGAGCTTTTTGATGCATAAGCACCTCTCATCATGGAGTAGAGTCAGGAGCATCCCCTGACACCTTTTCAGGTTGGAGTGCACTCATTCATCCTCTTGTATGTGCCCCTTCCCCATGCTCAGCTCAGCACTGTGTACAAAATATCCAAGCCCAGCCTGCTCTCTCCTGCCTGGGAGTACGGGATTTCTCTGGGGTCTGTGATGGGGAAGGGTGGATGTCCCTTCCCCACAACAGGCTTAATGCTTGGCTCAGATGCCTAAACTCTAAAACTACCAGCAGCAGCAGCAGCAGCAGCAGCTTGTGATCTCAGTCCTTCCAACCTGTTCTCGTGATTCCTCAATTCCAGGGAACCAGAGCGACCTGTTCTTTGTACCTGTAGGTCTAGGATCTCCAAACTTAACCAATCACATGCCCCTCTCAGAAGAAATATGAGCATGCTCCCTCATACAGATAGTATACGCATCATAAACAAAGAGTAGAGCTTTAACATAAGATAAATAATCATACACAGAAATCCTGACATTATATTCCCAAATCTCAAAAGATCTCCTGTGCACCCCACTTTGGGGACTATGCTTTAGGTACATTGCCTTATATTGGATCAGGAACCCTTACAGCAGAGGGTCCAGTCTTCTAGTGGGTTTAATGTTTAGTTAGTGTACTCTGAGTCTTCATTGTTCAGAAAAGAACCTCTTGAAGAACTGACTTCCTGAACTCCCAGTCATGTTGGTACTCCTTACAGAAGCGAGTGAAAACCCCTTTAGGAAATGATTGAGAGCAGCCTCTTGAATGCTTAAATGATCAAGGAGGGAGCAAGGCAAACCAATTTGTTCTGTGCAACAAACTCAAAATGTGGACCAGTTCCCTCAGCCCTCATTAAACTAATTAAACTGATCGGTATCATGCTTCTACTCCATGGTGAACTGAAGCAGAGTCAAGTTGATGAAGTTAAGCACGACCATGTTCTTGAGCAGCTGAATTGGCTGCCAAGAGTCCAAGCCATCTGGCCCAACATATGCACTGGGCATTGGGTAAGGGACTCCAGAAGCAGCAGCTAGAAAGAGAAAAAGGCTCTCTTCAGTCCCCATGATGCTTCTTTCCTCTTAATGTCTCAAAATAAAACCAGAAAGAGGAATAAAATGATTAAGTGCTTGAGGCCAAATGAGTTCCCTTGATTCAAATAACCCTGATTCATAGACAGAGACGTCCCGATGTCTTGGTTTCAATCAAAGCCCTCTCTCTCTGTCTCTCTCTCTTTTGCTCTCTCATTCCCAGGCACTCTTTTTTGGTTTGTGGGTCCAGGAGATGGGACTGGATAGGAGAGGAAACAGGCTTGAGTTTGGATAATTTGTGTAAGATGCTGCTGAACACATCTCGTCATGTGCAGTCCCCAGGTATCTGATGATGTTCTGAAATGGATAGATTGTTTCAGAGTTATTTTGTGTGCTTTAAAAAAATCCCATTTATGCAATTTACTTGGAATTTGCTTAGTCTTTAATAGGCCTGTGTAATTTCCTGCTCCTCCAGTACAATAAATAAAAGAAAGATGTTGATGACTTGGTGGGTGTGTGTGTACATGCACATGCACATGTGTGTGAGCCTCAGTCCTCAGAGAGAAAAAAAATTGCAGAAAAGAGTGCTGGAAATAAAGAAGAGTTACACACACACACATACACACACACACACACACACACACACACACACACACATATCCAGGTTGGAAAACCAAGTGTGGGATAACAGAAAGAGCAAAAACTGTGGAGTGTCACAGCTTTAAATTGGAACATTGGATCTGTGTGACCTTGAGTAAGCCATTTGGTTTCTCTCAGCCTTAGTTCCTGCCTCCATAAAATAAAGACTAATAGTGCCAATTTTGTAGAGTCGCTGTGAGGATTAGATGAGCTCATATATGCAAAGATCCTGGTACACAGTAGGTGCTCAGTAAGTGAGTTTTCTTTCCTACGTTGTCTTAAGGGACGGTGACAAAGCTTGAGCCTTGAGCACCACAATGAGGAGAGTGGGGAGAGGTGCTGCAGAGGGAATCTGCATCCCACATAATTCCCATGGGCTGTTTTCTATGCTGGATGACCAGGACAGGAGATAGACACATGTTCCTAGACAAGGATGAGTGAATTAAGGATGGAGGATGCTCTAGCCCTTGGGTGGCATAATGTCCTTTACTAAAATGACATTTTACATTAAATGTTGTCAATGAGATGTCTTTAAATAGGATGAATGTGAGATTTAATGGCTACAGACCTCATGGGTTCCATTTGGACATTGGCTTTCTGAGTGACTTCATAGAAAATGCAGAGTGAGGAAGCTCTCATTCATTCTCTCATTCATTCAACAAACTCTTAATTAAAGGTCTACTGTGTTTGGCAGGCCTTTTGCTAGGTGGTGGAAGTACAGAAAAATGAAATGGACAAGATGTCTTCTGTTATGGAACTAACAGTCTAGTAGGGGAGACAAACACAGGGACAAAAATATAAGTCAAACATTTAAAATAATGGTAATTGTTGGGAAATAGTTGGGATGTGGAGATAAAGGATAACAAGGGTAGAGGAGAAACCTCCCTAGGGTATTTAGGAAATCCTTCTCTGAGGACTGTGTCATTCTTCATATTCATAGGCTTATCAAGATGGAAGGAACCTAAGGCTTGGGTTCATCTTATCCATCCACCTACCCTGTGCCAAAATTGACACATTGATAGGAAACTTTAATCTGCTTGAATACTTTTGTTGATTTGTATTTCACAACATATTCCTATTCCTCAATGATTCAGTGTTGGAAAGTTCCATCTTCATGTTAGGTTGAAGTTCAGGTTTCTGTTATTTTTACCCACTGAGTCCCGATCCTGTTGTCACTAGCCTGGGAGATTCTCCAGGGAAGAACTGTCTGCCACTTGAAAACAAATGACTCCTAACTCTCTCAAATGGGTTAAACAAAGAGACTACAACAACAAAACCCAAGTAATTTGTTGGATCACATAAATTTAAAAATCTAGGGATATTTAGCTTCAGATAGAGTTTGATCAAGGGACTCAATAAGGACATCACGATCTCTGCATCCCTAGGCTCTCTTCTCTTCTGTGTTGGGTTCATTCTAAGGTTCTGTGTGCTTTTAAGATGACTGGCAGAAACTCTGGGTTATACCTGCATGCTATTTTTACTGCAATCTCAATCAAAGTTTCATGATATCTCATTGGCTTCAATTGGGTCATGTGTCCCATCCTGCGCTCATGCCAATCACTGTGGACAGATGGATGTGATGCTCTGTTTGGTCAGAACTGAATCATATGGACACTACTGGAGCCAGGGATGGATTCGACCCCACTCGAAATAGTGGGGAAGGAAGTGGGTTGTTCTCAAGAGGAAAATGGAGCATGGATCCCAGTAGGAGAGCAAACGAATGCTAGACCTCCTAGGGTATGGAGTCGGAATATGTTGTGGAATCCAAGTCAACAAAAGTGTTCAAGCAGATTAAAGTTTATTATCAATACATCAATTTTGACACAGCATAGGTGGATGCCAATGAGTAAGGCGAACTGGTGGGGGTTGGGGCCCACTGGAGAGTATATGCTGTGGCAAATGTGGCCCTAGAGTGGCAAAACCTTCTCTGATTTCCAAGAGATTGCAGAGATCTCAGTATGCATATGACATCTCTGTTTTTCAATCTCTAGGCAGGTAATTTTTTTAAAGTACTGAGTAAGACAACATGTTTAGGATAAGACACATCACCCTCTCACATTATTTTGTGAGTTCTTTCTAAATCTTTTTTTTATGAAAAATACTCTTTTTTCATTTTTAGTACTTTTCCCCTTATGCTACGGACTGCAGAACACTGTTGTTCTGGACTTTCTTTTCCGGACTGATTTCATTTGGTCAAGGAAGCACGTCTGCATAGGATGGAAAAAGCATGGTAGGAGCCACAGAGAACTGGGTTCAGATTCTGCTTCCCTGGGTGACTCTGAGCAAGCCCCTGAATGCCACTGTGCCTCAGTTTGCAGTCTGTCAAATGGTGAGAAAAATAGTGATTTCACTGGATTCAGTAATGTATTCAGTAATATGAAGTGCACTTGATACATAAGAGTTTATGACTCCTAACTATCTCAAATGGGTTTAACAAATAAACAACAACAATAAAATCCCAAGTAATTTGTTGGTTCACATAAATGAAAAACCGAGGCATATTTAGCTTCAGGTAGAGTTTGATCAAGGGACTCAGTAAGGACATCACAATCTCTGCATCCCTAGGCTCTCTTCTTCTCTGTGTTGGGTTCATTCTAAGGCTCCATGTGCTTTTAAGATGACTGGCAGAAGCTTTGTTTATACCCGCAAGCTATTTTTGCATTGTTGCTCCCTCTTAAAGGTGTGTGCCTCTGATTGTGGTATTTCTGATGTCACCTGAGTGAGGCACACACCTGTTGAAGGGACAAAATTATGCTGGTGGTAAGAAAAGCGTGAAATTAAAATTTTTTAATAGAGCTGTAACATACGTGCTATAAAAGTGTACTTATCTTAAGTGTGGCACTCAAAGGAGTCTTGCATTTGCATACACCTGTGTGGTCACCACTCAGATCACACTATAGAACATTTCCAGCACCCAGAGGGCTCAAGGAGATCATTTTAATAGGCTGTTTGTGGGGGATGTGGAGCAAGCCAGAGTTAGAATTGGAATAAAAACATTGAGGGCCTTGTGGATTACTGGTTCTTTGTCCATGCTACAAAGGCCACTGTGCAGTGATCACAGAGCAGGCATTGGTTAAGGGATGCCAACATCCCGGTAACCTTAAAAGAGCACGTTACTAATAAGCACACGGTTTCCACGACAACGCCATACACCATCACTAGCGAGGAAAGTCTTGTCATAATGATCATGACAATCATTATGATCCCTCGGATTTGGATCCCCCCGCCCCCACCCCCAGCTCCAAGCCCTTCACACAAATGAGCCCGGCCATGGGGCTTGTCTGTTAATTAAAGGCCACAAAGTGAAAACAACAAAAATCCCCACGACAGTGTCAGGAACAATGGTTCCCTAATAGATGTCATCTCGGCATTCTTGATTCATGTGCTGGCTCCATGTCGCCTCCCATTAGCTATGCAGATTTATAACAAAGATTTATAATCACTCCTCTAATATGTAAATCTGCATCTATGTTGCATTCCCCCACGATTTGGCTCATCTCTGTCTAACTTACACCAAGCCCCATTATTCTTTATTCCCAGGGCTCCCCTCATCCTTCATCACCTTTGACAGGAAGTGTGCCTTCTGAAAATGTGCATCTGTCTCAGTCTTAAACCCCAGTTACACCTGGTGAGCCCCTACAGGCCTGTCCTCAGGTTTGGGAAATCAGAAAGTGTTTTCTGGTTATTGTAAGATCCATGCTCTGTCTGGACTTGAAGAAGGAGCACTGGAGTTAGAGTCTCACCTGGGAGTGTGAGGATAGTCCCAGCTCTGCTAACCAGTCACTGGAGGTGGGCTGTGGCCTCCCCCAAAGAGTTTTCTCTTTGGTAGAGAAAATGATGGTGAAATATGGTAAGATCTTTTGTCCTTTCAGGAGCTGACACACAACACCTGCTCTGTACCTGTCAGTCCGTCAACTAAGCAACAAGGCCTCAGTTGCCTCATCCCAAAATGGGGATGATGGTTTCTGCCCTGATGAACAGAAGGAGGTCATGTGAGAAGACACAGGGATAGTGTCTGGCCCAAAGTTGTTGCATAGTCAGTGTTCATGCCCTCCCCTCCCATATTCCTCCAATCTTTGATAAACATTTACTAAGCCGCTGTTGTGTGCCCTGCGCTGGGCTAGCGGCAGGAGATTCAGCAGTGATTAAGCAAAATCTGTACTTCCTGGGGCTCATTTTCTAACAGGGAGACCAGTTGCCTACAGATGAACCAGGGTCTCCAGCTTGCAGGCGCTTGCTTGTGCTGTGAAGGGAAATACAGCGTGAGGGATGCAAGTGACAGGGGCAGGGAGGCTATCACTCAGAGAGGGCACAAGGCTCTCTGGCAGGTGACATTTGACCAGAGATGTGCAGCAGGTAAGCCTGTGGGTGTCTGGGTGAGGGAGTGAGGGAAATAGCCTCCCAGGAACAGGGAACAGCAAATGCAAAGACCTCGAGAAGGATTTGTGGCTGTTTGTGTACAGAAGAGTCAGGAGCTACGGCAGCAAGTCAGAGCAGAGGGTGGGAAACAGGGTGCAGAAGTGGAAGAGATCAGATAGTGGAGGGCGTCCCGCACCTTGCACCGTCCCGCTTTACACTGTCACCCCGTGTGACTGTGGAGCTGCTTTTTTACTCTCAAAGTATCCTGGTTTGGATAATGTATAGTATTGATGCTTCACTTATGGGCCATGGATATTGACTTTTGACCTATGGCGAGATGGGAGCCACTGGAGGATTTTCAGCACGGGAGGGGCCTGATCTGACCCAGATTTAAAGGGACTGTGCTGGTCGTTGTATAAAGAGCAGGCTGCAGGGAGCTCGAGGGAACGTTCTGCGTCCCTGTCTGCGAATGGCACTCTCCAAAGTGAACGTGAGAGACAGAGGTA